GTTGCCCATTTTTATCTCTATGCATTCTCTCCTCCAATCCTTTTGTGAATCCACTCCAACAAGGCTTTTGGCTCCATATCATGGTGGTAGTTCTTAGGTGCCACCGAGTAAGTTCCTATTCATAGCAATCCTCTGTGCAACGGAACAACACACTGTCTACCCCTGCACCATCCTCACAGTCTTTGCTGTTTGAGCCCATTTTTGCAGCCACTGTGTCAATCCATCTCATTTTGAGGGTCTTCCTCTTTTTGTGTTGACCCTCTGCTTTACTAAGCATGTTATCCTTCTTTATGGACTGGCCCCACCTGATAACATATCCTAAGCACATGAGACAAATTCCCTCCATTCTTGCTTCTAAGGAGTATTCTGGCTACACTTCGAAGACAGATTGTTCATTCTTCTGGTACTCCATGTTGTATCCAATATTATTCACCAACACAGTAATTCCAGGGCATCAATTTTTCTCTGGTCTTCCTTATTCATTGTCTAGGTTTTCCAGGCACATGAGACAATCGAAAATACCATGGCTCGGGTCAGCTATTCGAAAGTTTTCACTGACCAATTCTTTGAGAAGTGGATGGCCCCTTCCTTCTTCCAAGTCTGCCTTAGTCTGGAAGCTCCTCTGAAACCTGTCCACCACGGCTGACTCTGCTGGTCTTTGAAATACCAGTGGCATAGCCTCCAGCCTCACAGCAACACACAATCCACCACAGTACAACAGACTGACAGAAGAGTGGTGGATTTTTCCATGGAATCCTTCAATAAGGCAACGTGAGGCTTAAATTTTCTCTTCAGTTCTTTCAGCTTGAGAAATTCCCAGTATGTTTTACCTTTTTGGTTTCCTAACTCCAAGTTTTTGCACATTTCATTATAATACTTTACTTTGTCATCTTGAGCCACGCTTCGCAATCTTTTGTTCAGCTTTTCTTCCCCATTTCATCTGTTCACTTTAGCTGCTCTACCTTTAAGAGTGAGTCTCAGAGTCTCTTCTGGCATTCATTTTGCTCTTTTCTTTCTTCGTTTATGATGTCCTTGATATCATCCTGCCAAAGGGACAAGGAGGTCACATCTTCTGACCTCCTGTAACTACACAAAAGGAAGACAGAATCACCATCAGCTGCCCAAGGCCTGTTCTTATGAGGCCAAACATGCCACCACACTCCAGCCCTTTTATTGACCTTGTCCTCCCATGGCACCCACCACCTCTCTGCTGGGTTCAGTAATTCGCTGCAGTGGCCACATAGAACTCACAGATTATGGGGTTTATTAGGGAAGCAACAGGCTACAATTCAAGTTCAGGAACACACTAAGTCTCTCTCAGCTGGCCATCTCACTCAGCTGATTGTCTCTCTCAGCAGCTGGCTGTCTCTCTTGGACTCTTTCAATAGCACATCTCTCTCTCTCAGCAGTACATGTCTCTTGCATCTCTCTCCCAGCAGCATGTCTCTTTCAGCAGCACATTTTTCTCAGCTGGCAGTCAGAGAGACTCCTTCTGCCTCTAGGAGGGCTCCTTTTGAGCCTGGCAGAGTGGCCAAACTAACCAATCTCAAAATCAGAATTCTATACACCTGAGAGAGAGCGAACTTCCCAGAAGATTGCTTTGCGTTCCTCCAGGTGGATGATTTTAACAAGCAGCTACTCAGTTACTCATGGCAAAGTGGGAGTTACAAATGCTATGGCTAGAAAAGCCATGTCATGTAATTTACTACACTGCACATCCCATAACTCATTTTATCTTTGGTTCATTAGTGTTCAGTGCATTCTTGAGGTGGTCTCAGGTTGGTTACACTCAAGGTCATACTTTGGCTCTCACGGACTTGTTTTTATTTCCTTCAGCTTTGACTTGAACCTGTATGGGAGCAATTGATGGTCTGCTCCACAATCATCCCCTGACCTGTTCTGACTGATGATATTGAGCTTCTCTATCATTTCTTTCTACAGTCTATTTGATTCCTGTATATTCCATCTGGTGAGTTCTACATGTATGATCATCACATATGTTGTTGAAGAAAGGTACTTTCAACGAATAACTGGTTGGTCTTGCAAAATTATATCATGCAATCTTTGGCATCATTTCTGTCACCAAGCCCATATTTCCCAACTACCGATCCATCTTCCTTGTTTCTTTCACATTCCACCCACCAACAATTATCAGTGTATCTTGATTGCATGTTTCATCAATTTTAGACTGCAGAAGTTGGTAAAAGTCTTCAATTTCTGCATCTTTGGCTTATTATTTGGTGCATAAATTTGAGTTATAGTCATATTAACTGGTCTTCCTAGTAGGCGTATGGGGATTATCCTGTCACTGGCAGCTTTGTACTTCAGGATACATCTTGAAATGCTGTCTATGACAATGAATGTGCCACCACTCCTCTTCAATTCTTCATTCCCAGCATAGTAGACCATATGATTATCTGATTCAAAATGGCCAATACCAGTCAATTTCAGCTCATGAATGCCTAGGATATTGATCTTTAAGCATTCCATTTCATTTTTGATGACTTCGATTTTGCTAGTTTCATAGTTCATGCATTTCATGTTCTGATCATTAGTGGATGTTTGCAGCTATTCTCATTTTGAGTCATTTTGGCTCCACGACTCCTCTTAAATCACTCACATTGAGATCACCATAGCATCTACATTTCAAATTCCAACCAGTGTCCAGTAATTGACTTAGCAGCAGCATTTGATACAATTTGTCATTATTTTCTCTTGACATACTCTGCTTGCTCCAGGACACCCACACTCCCCATTCTCCCTTTGCCTGTAGGAAGTGCTACTTGTCAGTCTCCTTTGCTAGTTTCTCCTCATCTTCCCCACAAAGCCTAGATAATTTCATCCAGTTTCACGGCTGTTAAGGTCATGGAGAGCTGCATTGTTAACATAAATTAATATAAAGCTTTACTAATAGTTTAAAGATTACAGGCCATCATGAGGTAGAAAAGAGCATAGAGAAGAGGAGGTCACCAACACAGCTCCTCTTTCTGGGACCAGCAAGATGTGCTCTCGGCGAAGTTTAATACATGAGGTCTCTAAGAAGTTCAAAAGGAGCCCTGCTGATCAGTGTTTAAGAACTCAGCTACTAACTGAAAAGTCAGTGTTTCAAATCCACCAGCCCCTTCATGGGAGAAAGTCCTGGCAATCTACTCCAGTCTTGATGAACCCTTGAAACTACTGTCCTGAGGTAGTCTTTAAATCTTAAGTCAGAAATTTCCCCTGAAGTCTTCTGAAAGCCAAATAGTAGATTAGCTTAACTAGTAAATATGTCTGCCTTGAGCATTATACCCTTTTAGAACTATCTGTATGGGATCAAAGTGACAACAGTAACTCAAAAGATTAGATGCAGACCTCAGGGAGTAGCGAGTTACGTTAATGGGGAAGGAATAACTCAGAAATGGAGGGTGAAAATGGTTGCATAAATTGAGGAATATAATCAATGTCATTGAATTGTATATGTAGAAATGATCAAATTGGCATATTTTTGCTGTGTATGTTTTCAAAAACAATAATAAAATGCAAACCTAACAAAGCATTACAGCCTTGGAAACCCTATGGGGCTGTTCTACCCTGTTCTGTAGGGTTGCTAGGGATTGTAATAGACTCAACAGCAGTAGGTAGCAGGAAATTCAGAGAATGATTCTTTACACGAAATAGCTCAGTTCTCTTAACAGTCTCATCATTCACCACCTAATGAAATATCTTTATTTTATCCTCTGATAAGATATGTAGCTTATGACATTTCCAGAGCCTTAAATGTTCCATTTTTTTCCTCTGAAGGGCTCTTCAAAATCGTAATCCTCATGTTCCCTGGAATTTCTCTCTCTTCCCTGCTTTTTGATCTTCCCTCCCACTTATCACCATATTAATTATTTCAGGGTTTGTTGTTATATTCTTGTGAATGAGAACAGAAATGCTTATCTGTTTTGTTCACTGGTTTATCCCCAGGAGCCAAAGTACTGGCTGGCATCTGGTTGTTGTTGTTGCTGGCTTCCATTGAGTCGGCTCTCCAGTCGTGGTGATCCCACGCACAGTGGGGCAACATGCTGCCCCATCCCACTCCAACCACATGACCAGGTGTGGATCGGGCCACTGTGACCTGTACACTTTCATCGGCTGATTTTTTTGGATGGCGAAACCAGGTCTCTCTTACTAGTCCCTTTCAGTCTAGAAGCTCCCCTAAAACCTGCTCAGCATCCTGGCATCCCTCAGGCCTGCACTGACAGACAGATGTGCGGAGTAGACCCCAGTAAATGGTGACTTGACTAAATACTTAATAATACAGCAAAACCATTTGGCTTGATTTGAGTTTAGGGGAGAGTAATGATCAGATAATGGAAGGAGGACAGTTAACGTAGGCCTCAGTGAGGATTCTGTGAAAATCGCACTGTACAGTTTGGATTTTGCTCTGCAGCTGCAGAGGCACTAAAGACAATTGAGCAAGGTGGTAGCCGAAAGATGTGATGCTTTAAGAAATAGCATGGTGGTACAAGGAAAATTTTACACTTTCCCAGTAGTCTTCTTCCAGCTGAATCTCCTTGGTGATGTCACGGGGGCTGGCTACAACCCTCCTGGGCTAGAATCTTGAGGCCTATTTTCAAGATGGTGAAACCCCAAAATATATAACTTAATGAGACTGACAGTGGCGGAGTCCAAGTGTCTAGCATTTTTATAATAGAAATACACATTCAGTTAGATTTATATGAAATAAGACTGCTTAAATGCAGTCAGTGGGTGAAGTTATCAGCAAAAACCAGGCTTGGGAAAATCTGTTTCCTGAAGACAGATTTCTAGCAATGCGAAGAGTAAACACATCCCTTGCCTATTTTTCCCATTTGAATTTGGAAGACTGTCTCTACATTGGGCCATACCTTATACACCTGCCCTTCCTTTTCCACTGAAACCAGAAGTCCCACACACTGACAGCTACTCGCCTTGTGGCTAAAGCATTCCATCTTGGTGTCTGTATTGTCACTCGTGAACTCCCCTGTGTCTTGCAGTACAACCGCTACCAGCAGTACGGGGCTGAAGAGTGCGTGCTGCAGATGGGCGGAGTGCTGTGCCCCAGCCCGGGCTGCGGAGCGGGGCTGCTGCCCGAGGCCGGCGTGAGGAGAATCACCTGCGAGGGAGGCAACGGCCTGGGCTGTGGGGTGAGTGGCCGCTGCACGTCTGCGTGGTGTGCATGTGCTTTTCAAATTGGCTGGCGTGACATCTTTGTTTTATTTTCATTTGCCCTTTGAACTCTGACATCTTTGGACTGATATATGAGAAAATAGAGTCTTAAATTCTTATATAAGGCTTCAGATATGAAGAAAATGTGTATTTTGAGGGAAATCATCATATTAAGGTTTTCTGCTTTAATTGCTTATCAAAGTACAGTTGATCATCATTATTCACAAAACCACCCGCTTGCTAAGATTTGTCACTCCAAAATCAGCACTCACGGCCTTTGCTGTCGTCTTCAGACCTGCACAGAGAGGTGAAAATATTTGTGTCACTTGACACACACGTTCCCGTATGAAATCAACCAAGCCAACCCCTGCCTTCTTGTTTCAGCTCTCAGACTGAGCAAGGGTTCTTTTTAAGGTCTGTTTAGAGCTATGTTTGTTCACATTTTTCTGTTTTTTTATTGGTGTTTTTTCTGTTTGAAACGGCTTCTAGCATACTGCTGAAGTGCCATCTGGTGTCCTAAGCACGAGAAGGCTGAGATGTGCCTTGCGGAGAAAATCCATGTGTTAGAAAAGCTTCATTCAGGCCTAAGTTGTAGAACTATTGGCCGTGAGTTCAATGTTAATGATCCCATTTTATTTGTTAAATAAGGTGTCTTTCACAGAAACACACATAAACAAGGCTATGTATTGATGACCTCACAAAAGTGTTGTGAGCAGACGCTCACAGGAACCTAACCCTGTATGTGCCCTAAGCAGTAGTTCTGTGTTCTGCAAGTCAGGGTTCTGTGGCAGCTTTACAGACCTGAATGCCACGATGCATGGAAGCTGACTGTATTTACTTTAAGACACTGTGACTCTCTTCAGCTTTCTTCCAACCCTCAGCAGATTCACAGCAAGTAATTCATTATGTCTCCAGGGTTCCCTTTAAGTAGACAGCAGTGGAGGGAGGAAGAATCCCCCCCTTTCTCTGATGTCTTTGCCTACATATTTCAAGAAGTAAAATGAAGATGCATACAGAAAACCTGAAATTTCATTGTGGCATAAAAATCATTTTAAAGGGAGATGGGCGATAGTAGTGGTGCCTCTTAGGGGAGTAGAATAAGCAGCAGGGAAAATGTTTGTTTTGAGAGGTCAAACCTGAGGACCCAGACAGCCTCTTGGAAGGAGGAGTGGCTCAAAAGCAGCAACGAATGGGTAAGGGAGGCACAGCTCTAACACAAGAAAGCTGGGTAAGACTCAGGTTGAAATGAGAAATGGCTAATCTTCCCAGCATTCAAAGGAAGGCAGGCAGGAAAAGGAAGCAAGGGTAAGTGTTTGTAGGATGCCATTGAACGTTGACAAGAAAACATTTGAGATTGAGAGTTGAGGAGAAGCTTTGTGGAGGGAGGGGCCTGAGTAGGAGAGGGTTGTTACCCAGGCCTGAACTTTTGCTGAGTCACCTATGCATAAGCTGATAGCTGTCGCCCTTACTAAAACTTCCTGTCTGCCCATGCAGTGGGCACACAGAACCATGGACTAAGGAAAAGAGGAAAGGAAGTGGACGTTGAAAAATAAGACAAACCTGTAGTGTCTAAATGGAAATACCTTGGATTAATCATTGTACTTGCGTTAGAATGAAATGCCAGTGATTTTTGCCATTCTTAGGAATTAGGGAATCACACTGCAGTTTTCAACGTTCATCATCACCATTTACGGTGTAAGTGGCACGGATTGTGTGTGCCCTGAGCAGGCTGCCAAATTCCGGGATCTGAATGCAATCGGATGTCGGCTTTAACAGGAGTGACAGTTGTCTCTGATGAATGGCCAAATTGTGCGTTCTGCCAGCTAAGTGCTTCAGGTCATCTCACTTCCCAGTGCTGGACTTTAAGAATTTAACTTTACGAAGCAGAACTTTGATTTGGCTCATCTTGTGCCGTCAGTTTTCCACCTTGCTTTGAGAATTTAGAAAGTTTGTGTTATTTCAAATTTTAGACACCTCTAATTTCCTTTTTTTACACAGTGTGACCTTCCAAGGAAATAACATCCATATTTAAGCTCAAGATCTTGAAAAATGTCCTTGGAAGTGAATTGAATTGTCTTGATCTCTTTCCGTGAAGAGAGTTTGAGGGCAAACCTTCCCTTAAGGAGCAAAGCTATATTCAGGAATCTCCTGTGTCCTTTGGAAGTTCTAGCTGATGTGCTCTTATTTTGATGTGCTCTGTCTTGCTGTCGGGAGGTCTGTCTGTTGGTTTGTCGATAGTTATCTATTGCTGTGTAACAACTCCAAATGCTCACAGGGTAACATAGTAAACATTTCTTATCTCACAGTTTGTGAAGGCCAGGAAATTCAAAGTGGCTTAGCTGGGTGGTCTGGTTCATGGCTCTCATGAGATCATAGTAAAGCTATTCACCTGGGCTACAGTTATCTGACAGCTCGGGGACTGTATGGCCCATTCTAAGATGGTGCATTCAATGGTTGTTGGCAAAGAAGGCCTCAGGTCCTCACTGACTGTTGGCGGAAGGCCACAGTTTCTCACCATAGAGAAACTGGTCATCATAGAGAAACTGGTCACCATGTCACCTTCCTCTTACCCTGTTTGTCCACACAGTGGCAGCTGGCTTCCCACAGAGCATGTGGTCAAAGAGAAAGCAGGAGGAAGCCACGGCCTTTCTCTGGCCCAGTCCCCAAAGTTGCAACTGTCACACTCACCTGATCCGTTAGATCCAGCCCACCCTCAAAGGGCAGGAAATTGGGCTCCCTCTTGAGGAAGGCTGTTAAGGAGTTTGTAGGCATATTCTAAACCACCACAGTTTGTAACTTGGCCGAGTTAGAGAAAAAGAACAAAGAAAGAAGATGTGCAGCACGTACTTCCTTTGTACCTTCACTTCCTCCCCTGCCTTTGGCCCTGGTCTCCATTCTCTTGCTCAGGCCTCTGTCCATTCCCTTTGCTTTGACTTGTTTCTCAGCAGAAACTGTTGACTCATCATCACTACTTTTCCTCAAATCCTCGACTTCCACAAAATGTTAACCCAACTTAAATGCCTTTTAGGACTCCATAGTGGTTACAAAGGAGGTTGTTCAAATCCTGACTCCACCAATTGCTGATAGTCTTAACCTTTCTATGCCCCAGTCTCCTCCTCTCTAAATTGGGGCCTATACTACGCATACTGTATGAAGTCATTGTGATAATATATGTAAAAATGCTTAGACCAGTGTGTGTATTAATATTTCATCAAAAGCTTACTTAACATTTATCAAAAGCTCACCTGAAAGGCAAAAATTAAAAACTTAAAGATACCTTGTGATTTGGCCCTGGGCACACACCTTGAGCCCTGAAACACACAGATGTATTGAGCTCCAGGCCCAAGATGGTTTCCTCCTCTACGTGTCAAGTCTGGTATTGTGAACCAAAATGGCCTCAATGTATCCATGACTGTAATCCAACTGAAGAAACAGACTGTAGTGTGTTGATTGACTTGGGCTTCTTTCTTATAGGTATTGTAGTTAGTATTTATGGCTCTCTTGGCCAAAAACACTGACCACAGGAAATCAGATTCCCTGACACTTTGCTGTATCACTAGGCTTAGCTGTTACCTACAAGAGGGGTGTGCATTGACTAAAAAGGGAATACAAGGGTTTCTATTTAAATGATAACTTCAGTTCATCTAGGAAAGGCCTGATAAATGTTTGATGGTTATAAGACATTTGTTACACGTGTTTTACATCTTTGTATTCCCATCCTGCAAGTCTTCCAAAACCAAACTCACTGCCGTCGAGTCAGATGTGACTTGTAGCGACCCTTCCTTAGGTTTCTGAGGCAGTATCACCATGGAAGTCAATTGCCCAACCTTCCTTCCGAGGAGTGGCTGGTGGGTTTGAACTGCCCGCCTTCTGGTTAGCAGTCAAATGCCTTAGGCACTATACCACCAGAGCTCCTTATTCATCACTAAAAGCATGGATTTGGGTTCAACACTCATTGGATGAATGAATGATTGAATGAATGAATCTCAACTGTGTAGAAGTAATATGAGTTTTACTTGCATTTGCAAATACCAATTATCCCTTACCCAATATTAGATTGGCTTACTTGCCTCCACCAAAGGCCCTTGGACGGTTATCCAAGCACCTCCATGTACTTATGCAATGTCCATGGATGCTGTAAATGGTGAATGTGCTTGCACTCCAATACTAACCAAAAGGTTCACGTCCACCCAGAAGGGACTTGATGAGTGGCCTGCTGATCTACTTACAAAAAAATCAGCCACTGGATTCCCCATAGAGCACAGTCCTACTCTGACACACCTGCAGTCGCCATGAGTCAGAACTGACTGGACGGCAACCAGCTGAGTTTGTTTTCAGTTTGTACACTTACAAAGGAGAACTGTTTAAATAGCACTGAGTTCAATGCTTTAT